TGCTCTTTGGCTATCTGTAACCTAGAATAGTACATGTTTACAGGTACATAAACACTCCTCTCAAAGCCAGTGGTTGGTGAACTGGATGAAAACCACTTGCGTTTCTTGGTAGCTCTAGTGTCCAGTGATTCTTATTCAGTAAGGTCTCAATTTCTACATTAAAGGAACAATATTTTCCCAAGAAAACGATAGGTTAATTAACATATAATGTGTTTTAAAAAATGGTATATTCAGTTAGACCTTTTATAGTACATTGTATATGTAGAGACTCTAAAACATTTTTATGGATACAAAAAAATTAGAAGCTCCAATATTTGGTGCATAAAAGTTTATAATTATATTTTTGATGAGTTAATCCTTTCATTAATATGTAGCATCTCTTATTTTATCTCTTCTAATTAGTTCTGGTTTGAAATTTATTTTGCCAGGTATAGGGATAGTTATGCCTGCTTGATTACATTTTCTGTTTCCTTGGTATTTTTTCCATCCTTTGATATTAAGTTTTGGGGTATCTGCTGGATAAATATGTTTCTTAGAGACAATAAATAGTTGGTTCTTGGGTTTGTTTTTTGTTTTTTATTTTAATTAGAAGAGATTTCCAACTGTTTTAAGATATAGGTATTAAGGTCAATGAGATGGTTCAACAGGTAAAAGTGTTTGTTGCATAAACCTGGCCACCTAGATTCACTCCCTGAAATCTATGTAAAGGTGGAAGAAGAGAAGTCACTTCACAAAGTTATTCTCTGACACACACACATTGTGCATGCATGCCCTCCACCCCCATCCTATGCAAGCACATGCACATACACACACAAAGTAATTTTTAATTAAAAAAGAATATAAGTATTAGCAAAGTTGCTATATTGGAATAAATATAAACAGACAAACTTTTTCCAAAAAGAATGAAGTCTTCTTACCTAGAACAGTATACAAGTTCATACCTGAGCATTTGAGTTAGTGAGTGTCTCGGTTCCAATGAGTGATAATTTATTCTGACACTTGATTTAAAAAGTAAAGAAAAACAAGTGACATATTTATAATCCACAGACAATTCCCTTCTCCTCCCTTTTTATACTAGCCCTATACAACACCCTTCTAAAAGAAATTATATATATATATATATATACACGTGTGATACAGAATCTATTTAAAGGCAGTCAAATTGGTTCCAAAATGAGTTTATAAAAAGGAGAAAGCAATAGTCATACATGCAGCTCCGTAGTAGAGCACCCACACAGAGCCTTTGGTTCCATCTACCTCACCCTCCACAACACAGTGACTACTAGATTAAAGAAATAAAACACCCAGTAGCTAGCATGAATTATAAGCTACATAATGGGAGAAAAAAATGGGAGGCAAGAGAACAAGAGAGAAAGTATTATAGAATAATAACAAAGTAAGGAATTAAGAACGTAAATAAGCCTCCAAGAGACACTTTAAAAACAAGAGACATGACTTTAGAAACATCTAACAATGTTAATAATTGTATTTGACAGGTAAGAATATGAGTAACTTAATTCTTATTTGTCCACATTTCTGGTTGCAGTAATTTTCTGTAAAATTTTAAGTTATTGTTAAATCCAAGTTTTTATAGAGAAAAATAACAAAAAAAGAATTATAAAAATAATCTAGTATGTACACTAATTATATACAGTATCAAAGATTTTGCCATGTGATTTTTTTCAAAATACTCCATCTTTCCTGCTTTGACAGTATAGTGAAAGAACAGGATGCTATATACGTAAAAAATTCATTCATCACCCCTTTTCTGACACTTTACTGAAGTACTACATGTATCTGTGATTTTTATCATATACTATGGTATGTTAAAGAGAAATTGTACCAAATTACAAAGTGTATCAAGTGTCTCTAGTTCATCAAAATAAAAACATATATACATAACTTCAAGTTCAACATTTGTATTCATGTTTTACTCATAATTCTTAATTATATATTATTTCTATGTTCTACTGGCCCAAAACAGGTACTGAAATAATTCACGATTCCCTCTAATCTTACATTCATTAACTTCAGTGTTCTTTTGTTCCAACCTCCTTAAAACCTTTTGAATTACACCCCCTCCCTCCCCAGACAGGGTTTCTCTGTGTAACAATCCTGGCTGTCCTGGAACTTGATTTGCAGACCAGGCTGGCCTTGAACTCACAGAAATCTGCCTGCCTCTGCCTCTCAAGTCCTTGGATTAAAGGTGTGCATCACCACCATAATATTGTTAATGGTACATTATATACAATATTATGAATGACTATAGTATCTATAAGAAAAATAACCTCCTTGAGAGCCAGAACTACTACCATTTTTTTTCTCTTTCCACGGTTGATCTAGTATAAAGTTTCTTAAGAGAATAATTTTAGCTCTTAGGTATAAAATATAATTTATAAAATAATAACTATAGGGAAACTACACTATTAGCTTCCTAAGTTTATTATGTGACTGCTATATTGACTAATATATCGCTTTTATATGTTGATACTTACTTCTTCCATGTCTTTCCACATTTCTTCACATTGTTTAATAAGTTCTTCCTCGGTATCTATAACTTCCATGTCTCCAGTAATATCTGGATCTAGTTTTTGCTGATTCTCTAACACATCCATTATAGTTTTCTTCATCTTAGTGGAAAAACTAAAGTAAAAAGGATACATGCATTTAATAACTATTTGCTGAAAGTAGCAGTGACAAGTAGACAAAAAATCCTTTGAGAAACATGAGCACACTACTGTTGGAGGGAATATTTTAGTATAGCCATTAGAGAAAAGAAAGAAGGTAGATGTAACATTAAAACTAGAAACAGAACTACCATAGGATCCAGAATTTCCACTACTAGACATATATCCAAACAAATGAAACCACTATTGAAAAGATATCTATTTACAATCTCTCTTGTTTACTAAGGCACTGTTCACAATATCCAGATGTGGAATCAACTAGGTGTCTACCAACTGAAGAATCTGAAGAATCTTCATAAATAAAATAATACTCTTCCATTGTAACAGGAGGGTCGGGAGAATAGTAAGAGTGCAAGATACAGGCAGGTGAGTAGACGAGTTGGCAAGAGCTTGTGGAAGTCCTGACTGGATTACTTCTTCCAACTAAGTGAATCACAACTAAGTAATCAGTTGTAAGGGTAGAGAGAAGGAAATCGAAATTTAAGAGCAGACACAGCCAGCCAGGTGTGCTGGCCCATGCCACTAATCCCAGCACTTGGGAGGCAGAGGCAGACGGATCTCTGTGAGTTCAAGGACAGCCTGGTATAATAAGGAATTCCAGGACAACCAGGACTACATAAAAGAAAAACCCTGTTTCAAGAGTAGGGGGTCGGGGAGAGTGGTGCTGGAATGATATAGATTATCCCTTAAAGGCTAAGGTTACAACCAAAAATTTAAGAGTAGCAGGGGAAAGGTGTACAAAATGGTTATATAAGAGAACTCAGAGAATATATCACAGTTTGGGATAGTGGCCCACTTTTTTTTTTTTTTTTTTTTTTTTTTTGGTTTTTACGAGACAGGGTTTCTCTGTATTGTTTTGGAGGCTGTCGGTCCAGCCTGGCCTCCAACTCACAGAGATCCGCCTGCCTCTGCCTCCTGAGTGCTGGGATTAAAGTCGTGCACCACCACTGCCTGGCTTAGTGGCCCACTTTTAAATTAGTAATTATTGGTCCAATGAAAACAATGATGAGCCAGGCATAGTGGCACTCACCTTTAATCCCAGCACTCAGGACGCAGAGGCAGGCGGATCTCTGTGAGGCCAAGGACAGTCTGGTCTACACAGCGTTCCAGGATAGCCAGAGCTGTTACACAGAGAAACCCTGTCTCAAAAAACAAAAAACAATAATGATAGCACATTAAAAAAGATGATAGTCATCATTTTCTAAGTAAATAAAAGTGACACAAGGTTACTAGGTGGCTGCTGCAAAGAATAGCTTATGATAGTATATATCATGAGACTTAAAGTTAGGTCATTGTAAAGATTGCAGATGGCGGACTTCTAGGTTACAATGTCAAGTGCAAATCAGAATAAACACCACCCCAAAGTACTTTTTACTCATTGAATTCATTTTTACATTTCTTAACCAATAAGACAGGGTTTCTCTGTATTGTTTTGGAGGCTGTCCTGGAACTAGCCCTTGTAGACCAGGCTGGCCTTGAACTCCTGCCTCTGCCTCCGGAGTGCTGGGATTAAAGGCGTGCGCCACCAATGTGTGTAAAACAGTTCTAAATAAATGCGACACTACCGTGTTCCTATGTTCTTTAAGTCAAGTGTAAAGATGTCAATTCTCCCCAAATTCAACTATTTTATCTTAAGGTCTAAAAAGCGACAAAAAGTCGCCCTTGATGAGTAAATAGTAAAACCTATACAGAAATATAGAGATCCCAAAATAACAAAACAACTGTATATAAGTATATTAATAGTTAAATGTAGAATTGGCTCATAAACAGTCAAACTGAAACACGGAACACAACACACACCCCTTCTTGATTTTCTAGCTTCACATACACACGCCAAGTCAAGAAGAATATTCTAATAACGGGAGTCCATGTTACAGATTAAATTAAATATATATTCTGGCTGATAGAGATCTACTTCGTTCTTTTTAACAACAGGTTCCTTTCAACCCCTCCCGCCCCTGTTTCTAGCTTCTGGAATGCTGCTGGCCTGGGAGGCTGACAGGAGCCGGGCATCCAGTCCCCAGGTTGTAAGCATCCGGCTTGGGGAAGCTCCCCCAAGCCCTCGAGCTACCATCCTCGACAGACAACTGTTAGAGCGCTGGCCCCCGCTTACCCGGCCAGAGCCCGTCTCCACTCCCGTCAGCCCTCGGGTCGCCTCGGCGGTCCTGTCAACTCAGCCAGGCCGCGTTGTTTGCGCGCGCTGCTCGCTGATTGGGTCCGCGCTGGCTCACCCCAGCCAATCAGGAAGCGCCATCGGCCGCTGACGGCAGGGCTGCGCCGCCGCCGCCGCTCCGGAATGTCGAGCGCGCCCGGGTGTCGCGCCGCCTCTGACGCCTCGGACAACATGGCGGCCGAGAGCGGCAGCGACTCCCAGCTGAGAAGGAGAAGGCGCCGGGACCCGGAGGAACGAGAGAAAACGGAACTGGGCGAGCGGGAACTGGCCGTGGCGGTGGCGGGGAGCGAGGACAATGAGGATGAGGATGAGGAGCGCTGGGTTGGGCCTTTGCCGGTGGAGGCGACGCTGGCCAAGAAGAGGAAAGGTAGCTGCGGAGAGCCCGCCGCGAGCAAGCTGGAGGGCGGCGTGGGAGGGCTGGGCGCACGCTCGCCAGCTCGCGTTTCAGAACGTGACACGCCGTGGGCCCCTGACTAGTTGGCATAGGTGCTGCAACTAGAGTTTCTGCTTTTGTGTTTGGGTGTTTTTACTGGCCTCGTAGCTGTCCTGTGAAGTTGCGGAGTCCCAAATTAGCAGGCGTGGGAAGGGGTACGGGCTCTCAGAATCGTAAGGACTGAACTTCGGCAACTAATGGTTTTTCAAAACGGAGGGGAAGGTTTTTTTGTTTTTGTTTTTTCCAGAGACAGGGTTTCTCTGTATTGTTTTGGAGGCTGTCTGGAACTCGCTCTGTAGACCAGGCTGGTCTCGAACTCACAGAGATCCACCTGCCTCTGCCTCCCGAGTGCTGGGAATACAGTTGTGCGCCACAAACGCCCGGCTGGGAAGTTTCTTAAATTTGCTGGATTTGAAGCCATGTTCGAGACAAAATAAAAGTGTTTTTTTTATCATATCAAGAATTTTTTTAAGGTGGGAAGAGGATAGGTTAAATTTTACTATTTCCTAAATGTGTTCGGAGTGTGTGTGTGTACAGTAGCTCCTTTAACCAGGTTAGCTTTTTAACATATATCCTCCTAGATTTTAGGTGCAGAGGTTGTTGAATATTATCTAATGACACCTTTTTAGTTCCTTCTTTTTCCCTTCAGTTAAGTGTTTTCCACAGCAACCTTTGCCTTCGTGGTAGTTGTATATTTATTTATTCATGTGACTTTCTGAACACTACTAGACTAAACATATAAGAACAGTATGATTATGCTCTTACTTCACTTAAATATTGCTGCATGTACTACTTAAATGGAAGAAATGGGGATAACTAGGAAGGGAAAAAAAGAAAGAAAAAAAAAGCAAGCACTGAAATATTGACATAAGCAATTCAGTTTCAACAGAAAAATCTTTACCCTTAGCCAAATGCTTTTTTGAAGAAAAAAAAATCTCTGAAACAACAAATAAAAGAATGGTTGCAAAAATATGAAAGATTACCTAAAATGACAACAGTTTAAACTTATAGAAATGGAGTTAAGATTGGACTTTTGTTGTTTACTTTCACAGTGATATACGGTTGTACGACGCTACATTAAATTAAGCTGTTTTGTAAAAATATTTTGTTTTTTAATTTTTTGTGTATGAATTTCGCCTGCGTGCGCAGCATGTGAGTGTCTGTGCCCCAGGAGTCCAGAAGAGGGCATCAGATATCCTGGAACTGAAGTCACAGGTGGACTAGCAGCCAGTACTCTTAACCTCTAAGCCTTCTATCTTGCCCCAAATGAGGCTATATTTAAATTTTTATTTGTTGTTGTGTGTGTGTGTGTGTTGGTGGGATCAGAGAGGTGGGAACACACATCATAGTATAAGAAGTGCAGGTTAGAGGACAACTTTGTGGACTTGTTCTCTGCTTTTACCTTTGTGTGAGTTCCAAGAATGGAACCAGACGTAGGCAAGCACCTTTATTCTCTAAGCAATCTCACCCCCTTTTTTTTTTGGTTTTTCGAGACAGGGTTTCTCTGTGGTTTTGGAGGCTGTCCTGGAACTCACTCTAGACCAGGCTGTCCTCAGACTCACAGAGATCCGCCTGCCTCTGCCTCCCGAGTGCTGGGATTAAAGGCGTGCGCCACCAAAGCCAGGCTCACCCATCTTAAGGAAATTATTAGTTCTTTCTCTTCTTTATGTTACCTTGAACATATTCAAAGGAATTTTAACAAACAATAAAAGCTATCTAGAACACATAGGATAAAATTTATTGCAGAAAACTCCAATAGTGATATTAAAAAGATAATGGAATACTACTTTTATGTTAAAAAGTGCCAGTATAAGCAACCTAGGATTCCTGTGGAAACTCCAAGAGTTCCTAGGCATATTCTACCCAAACTTGACAAGTGTATGGCCCTCATTTTCATGGTTCTGAGTTCTTAGAATTACAGCATTAAATAGTCTAGGTCCAAACTGAAAACTAAAGAAGGGAAGACGGGAAAACATTTTAAGGACATTTTCTTATTACAAAATATTTGGACCATATCCTCTTATATAGTGCATATGGTTACTACAGAGGAATGTGAGAAAGGCCAGTTAACCTAATGTTAGTAGGCACACATAAAACAATAGGGATTCTGTTATTTGAAAAAATTAATGAAAACTAGTTTGCCAGACGAAATTTTGAGTGTGCTATGTAGCAGTACAAGAATCTAATAGTTTGTCGTGTGTAATTTACCAACTTTATATAGAAATGTTTGATCATTTGGAAACAATACTTTTTAAAAAATTTATTTTACTAGTAAAATTGGTCCTGGCTCATAAAATCAAGATATTTTAAATATTCCTCAATTTTCCATTTTTCCAGATGTTATACTGCTAAAAAAAAATACCTAAAATGCGCTCAACTAGATTTGCTATCATTTCCTCAGCTCTAAACATTTCATTGTGTTTTCATGTTTCAGTTCTTTTTCAATGACATAATAGGAGATTGCTGCCTTAAAAATAAATATACATCTTACAAATATCCACTAGCTTTTTAATTGAATTAACAGTAATTGGGATCCATATGGTTTTGAAGATTGTAATATTTTCATAAAGCCTTAGATTTCTTTGAACCTTCATAATAAGCCAGAACCATTCACAATTATCAAAATCTTTGAAATAGGAGCTAGAAGTATAGCTCAGTTATTAGAAGCAATTGCTGCTCTTCCGGATCTAAGTTTGATTCCCAGCACCCACATCAGACAGTTCATATACCACCTGTAATTCTAGCTCAAATGGATCCAGCACCTTCTTTTGGCCTCGTTGGGTACCAGTACACACAAGGTGTACAATGGCACAGACATAAAATCTTAGAAACAGTATCTATATAATCCCAGAGAACCTATCATAGTATCTTGTGAAATAATGATATAACTGATATAACAATACTGTATTTTATCTCAATTGTTGATTGAAAAATTAAAATTTAGAAGAGAATGCCAAGTTTAGAAAATTCTAAATAGCATGTTAATTTCATTCATTAAATATAATTTTTATTCCCTCTCCCAGTTCTAGAGTTTGAAAGAGTCTATCTTGATAATCTCCCCAGTGCATCCATGTATGAGCGCAGTTACATGCACAGAGATGTGATCACACATGTGGTATGCACCAAGTAAGTGTATCATCCTTTTTTAAAATGTTTTAATTTTAATGTGTATGAATATTTTTCAAATGTCTGTACCACCTGGTACCTACAGAAGCTAACAAGGGCATGAAATCTCTTGGGAACTGGAGTTACAGACCATTGTAAATCACCATATAGGTGTTGGGAATTGAACCCAGGTCCTCTGAAACAGCAGCCAATGCTCTTTACTACTGAGCTATCTTTCCAGTAACTAATATTACATATACTCAGGGAAAAAAATCTAAAGCTTAATTTAATTGAGTGGATTTATGGAAGTAATTTGGAGATTTTATAGATTTTAATTCTGCAAGTTCTATAGTACTTGAACAAAACTCTGCATGTTTTCTTATATAAAAGAAAACATCCTATCAAATAGAACATCCTAGTCTATGTACTGTATGTGTGGTGATAAAAATCATAACGGCTCAACCATTATTATCAGAGCTGATAATGTTTTTTAACTCATTCTATGTCTAGATACTGTTGTGATGTATTTCATTAATTACCTGATTGATCTTAACAGTTTTAAAAGCCATAACATTTTCATTTTATAGGTAAGAGAACTGTGGAATAAAAAAGTTAAGTGGCAGAAGAAGCTAAAGAAAAAATGATAAGCTAAATTTCAGATTTCTTTATTTGGATTTTGAACCTATATTCAGATGAATGAATGATTTCAAATAGGACAAAAAAATAGGTGCAGGGAGAACAGAAGGCTTGTGTAGAAATTTGGATGAGCTGTGATGGAGCCTTGGATGATACAGTGGTCAAAAGTGGATGAAATACTTCAGAACAATCTACTCATGATTTTTTTTTTTTGTTTTTGGTTTTTGGTTTTTGGTTTTTTTTTTCGAGGCAGGATTTCCATGTGGAGCTTTGTAGACCAGGCTGACTTGGAACTCAGAGAGATCCACCTGTCTCTGCCTCCCAAGTGCTGGGATTAACGGCGTGCGCCACCACCTGACTTATGATTTCTTAAAACAAATTGCATTTCAGATGTACATTTCTTCATATTATAATAGGATAATTCTCACCAAATACAGCTCAAACTTGTTAATGTATAAAGCAATTTATAGATACTGGCACTGCTTGTCTCCTAAAGTAGATTTGCTTTTTAACCCAAAGCTGTAGAGTTTACCAAAAAGGTTTTTTGTTTATATATGTTTGATAGGAAAAGACAGTTCTGTTCAAAATCCTTTTGATTCTTAACCAAAATACCATGAATAAGATATGAAAAAAAAAATATGTTGAACCTTTTCTATATGTGAAAGTAGTGTGGTGTCCTTGTTCAGTTCTGCACCAGGGAAAGCTATCTAGCTATTTATCTACCTACCTACCTATCTAATGTTAAGTCCTCATTCAATTATAAACTCACCTCTTGAAATTAATATTAGTTGCTGTTATTCTTGCAATGGTCTATGTAAAGGAGAGTTTAAAAGCAGAGTCAAAACAATAAAACCTTAAACTAGATGTGTTAGGATATACCTATAAATCTGGCACTAAGAGGCAGAGGCAGGCAGAAGGATCACAAAATCAAGACTAGTATGAACTGCACATAGTATGAAGTTAGCATGCATCATGTAGTGAGAACTTGTCTTTAAAAAAAACAAAGCAAAAAAAGCCTATCATTGAAGTAGTCAATTTCTGTCATTGAATCTTTGCTTTGAAATTTCTCAGAGATCTATTTTGGACGTTAACTTCAACATTTTTTATGTACAGGACAGATTTCATTATCACTGCCAGTCATGATGGACATATTAAGTTTTGGAAAAAAATAGAAGAAGGAATTGAGTTTGTTAAACATTTTCGTAGTCATCTTGGTAAGAGTTTCATATTTTCTTGTAGCTCCTGTTTAAATTGTACCAATTAAAATTTCCTTCAAAATATTGTGGGCTTTTTTTGAGTCATGCACATTTATTTTGCTTGTATTTATTCAAATGTTTTAATTTGATTTTTTAAATAGGAATAATTGAGAGTATCGCAGTTAGCTCTGAGGGAGCATTGTTCTGTTCTGTGGGTGATGATAAAGCAATGAAGGTGTTTGATGTAGTGAACTTTGACATGATCAATATGCTGAAGCTTGGGTAAGTTTTCTATAAAGTATATGGTGTGTGTGTGTGTGTATTTAACTTAATAAAATAATTGTAAACAAAACTTCACCATTTTGTAGGTTACTTTTGAGCAGAATAAATTACTCACTATTTGGAGTTTTACATGGGAAAATCCTTGTAACATTTGGAGGCTTCTACTCTGGTTTTTCTCATTAACACAAATTTTCAAACAGTATCACAATATCCAGCTAATAGCACTTATTAAATTGACAAACACTCATCATGTCCAACTACTGATGGTTAGAATAACTTCCTTGCTATATCATACTTACTTTGAAGATACAAAGTTGTGTTTTATATGGTTTATAGATAGGTATAGAATTTGCTGGGGGCTTTAAACTTCTGAGTATACTGATTGTGGTATGTAAGCTATGTGGTTAGATAGCACAGTATTTAGACTGATGCTTTGTTTTATGCATGACTTTTTAAAAGATAGTATGCTAAAATTGTACATCTCTAAATAAATACCAGCTTAAAAGTCATACCATATCAGAATGTTTGGGGACTTGCTTTGCTTGAATGATATAACAAAAGACCTTAAGTTAGACAACTTTAAAAAACAAGCTTTTCCCTCCACAGCTCTAGAGTGTTGGAAACCCAAGGTCCAATGCCAGCAGTTTTATTTTTTATGAGGGCCCTCTTTATGAGGGCCCTCTTCCTGGCTTCTTACTGTTTCCTCACTTGGTTAAAGAAGAAGGGTGGAGCCTATCTTCTTCTGAGAAGGCTATGGGCCTATCAGATTAAGACCTCACCTTTATGATATCATGTAACCATAACTGACTCCAAAAGACTATCCAAAAAGTCCTGCTATGGACTATATGTCTATAATTCAAATCTGAATTTTGAAATATCTTTTGAAATCAGATTTTTTGAGCCATAAAATAAAACTGGTGTTACTTTATTTGGTTAGATTTCTTTCTTTTTGGTTACTAATGCCATTACCTAATTTGATCTTCTTTTTTATTCCCCACTTTGTTTCCCCAGACATTTGCTATTTTTAAAAATAACAAATATTTGAACATTAGCTCTTTGAGAATACTCAAAAGAGTCTATTTCAGGAACTGATAGAAACTCTAAATGAAGAGTTCAAAAAAGGTCTTGATCCTCAACACCATGGTGGTTGGTATAACTAACTTTCAAATGACTACTTTGCAGGAGACAACACATATGTTTGGTATGTAGATTAAATGCATCAAATTCTTTTACACACTGTTCATCATATAACATCCCCAGTGCTAACATACAGTTTTGATGTCAAGATAGGACAGTAGTTTCTTCTGAGCATAGTCAGAACCTAAATATTTTGATTATAAATGTATTAAGAATGGATTTAATGTGAGCCCATTGAAAAGCTATACGTAAACTGTTTTACAGGTACCCAATGCCTGAAAACACCTTAAAGCCCAGATATGATTACGTTTCCTTATCTACCTAACAGAAATAAGTATGCAGTTCTCTTCTTGTGGTTTGGTATCATCATACATTATTATCATTAAAGAGAAAATTAAGGACTAGGGTATAGTTAAAGGTAGAGCGCTTAATATGCAGAAGGTCCTGGATTCGATTCCTAGCATTGTAAGAAAAAAGGAGCAAAAAGAAGGTTAGTAGCTATTCTGCATACATGTAAGCAAAGAATTCCAATCTGCCTAAATGGTTGACCAGGATATTTGGATTTTAGTAATGTGATAGGGAGGAGTGCTTGTTATATTGACCTTCTTTTTCTCCTCCTCGCTTTTTAACTGCTTTAGTTATTTTCCTGGACAATGTGAGTGGATCTATTGCCCGGGAGATGCCATATCTTCAGTTGCTGCTTCTGAGAAGAGTACAGGAAAAATTTTCATTTATGATGGTCGAGGAGATAACCAGCCACTTCATATTTTTGATAAACTCCATGTATCACCTCTTACTCAAATAAGACTAAACCCAGTTTATAAAGCAGTGGTTTCTTCAGACAAATCTGGCATGATCGAGTACTGGACTGGACCTTCTCATGAATACAAATTCCCTAAAAATGTGAACTGGGAGTATAAAACTGACACAGATTTATATGAATTTGCCAAGTGTAAGGCTTATCCAACTAGCATATGCTTTTCACCTGATGGAAAAAAAATAGCAACCATTGGATCAGATAGAAAAGTTAGAATTTTCAGATTTTTAACCGGAAAACTCATGAGAGTCTTTGATGAATCTTTAAGTGTAAGTATAATTAAATCAGATTTTACTTTTCTGATAGTTTTTATGATTTTGCTATTTCATAGAAGAAATTTTTCTATCTAGCCATGTGTGTTGATGGTTATTTTCTCTTAGCACATTAAAGATACTACTCAGTTGTCTGTAATCTTGGATTGATGATGTTCTTCCTACATTAAGTGGTGTTTATTCATTATTCTCTTCAGCATTTGCTGAGGTGACAAGAGGAGATCAGGAGTAAAGCTATGACAAAAATTGAGATTCAGAATGAGTTTGGCAGAAGAAAGACCCATATCAGTTAAACTAATTACTTTTAATACCAAACATAAGTATAAGTGTGTGTATAAAAAGTAGTAATAATTGGAATCCCACATTCCATAGACTTGCTTTTTTTTTTTTAAGTTGGGGAGGGGCTGCCTAGGGTGAGTAGAAAAACTTCAGTGACTTAAAACTGTTTAGTCCTAGTTTAACAGAAATTAAATATGAAGTTTATATTTTAGTATTTATTAGCAGATGTGTCAGTACAGTTGTGTATCACAGAGGCCATGCGTTGAATGCCAGAATATAAAATAGATTCTATAGAGGTGTTTACCAAATTGGATAAATATTTATGAAATGCATGTATATGGATATATGGCTAGCTATAGAACTTACGTCTTGGAAGCTGAGTCTTCAGCAAAAATAACCATGAATCTCTCCCACTACTAAAAAGTAGTCCAGCATTCTAGGCATTTCGGGCACATAAATTAGCAGTAACCAGAGACAAAGGCAGATGTTCTGTAAGATTGTTCATTCATGCCTCAAACTCTAACATACCTCTTGTTTTCCTAGTTTTGTACATTTTTCTTTCTCAGGAAAAAGTTAAGATTTTAGTTTACAAATGTGAAACAAATATATAAGTAAATATGATGTAAGCTCAGCTTATTATCATCCATAATAAAAAGTTAGCTTTGAATTCTTAATGTCCTACATGTCTGAAATGCTGATTAATAATACCCTATCTTCTAGAAGACTCATGGAGGTACTAACACTAGGTATTCATGTTATAACCTATATCTTGAAAATTTTGGACTAAATATCAAAAGAAACCAAATTTCCGAACTATAAAGGGTACCTATAAAAACCAATTTTTCCTAAACACATTTATCTAATACTAATCTTAACTGCTCTTATCAAAATAACTTGAAACAGTTTCTGATGTCATAATTTTGATATAGCAAGATAGTAAGAGTACTCCAAAGTGGAGAGATCTATCAGTGGTCAAGAGTGCTTTACTGTTCTTGCATAGGACCCAAATTCAGTTGCCAATACCTGTGTTAGACATTTCACAACTACCTGTAACTCCAACTCCAGATCTTACATTTTCTCCTGGCCCCTGCAGGCACCCACATGCACATGTACATTCACATAAACACACACATACCCACAAATAAAAAAACCTTTTAAAAAAGCTATTCAATAAAATTTAATATTTGCCATGGTTTTTTGTTTTTTTGTTTTGTTTTTTTTATTACCACAGTGTTATGCCTGCACACCAGAAGAGGGCACCAGACCTCATTACAGATGGCTGTGAGCCTCCATGTGGTTGCTGGGAATTGAACTCAGAACCTCTGGAATAACAGCCAGTGTTCTTAACCTCTGAGCCATCTCTCCAGCCCTACCATATGTTCTTTTCATGATCCTTATACAGGACATCACAAGCTATGTGTAGCCGTATTGCTTGACATAAGTAGCCGCTATTCATGTGACTCAATATTTTGTTTGTTTAGGAGGAGTGAGGAGATGTGGCTTCACCTGCTCCCTTGGAACTTCCTATGTAGTGTAGGCTATTCTACTGCCTCATCGTCCCAAATGTTGGGAATACAGGTTTAGACTATGTAACTTGACTCCTTAATGTGTTTAGACAAAATAGAGATACTATATACATAATATTCCAAAGCAACAATATAAAAGTCTTCTCAGTTTTATAAACTGTTATAGAAATGCTAACATTGGTATGTTAGATAGAATAAAATAAATTCTACCTGCTTCTTAAAAAACTTTATGTAATATGCCTACTAAAATTTTAAATTACTTATGGGACTTGCATTATATTTCATTGAAAGTGCTACTCTGAGGCTTCTAAAGGGTATGCTTAGTTCTGTAAAGAAAGCATTAGTTACATAAATCAACTGGTTTAGTATATTTGTTTCTTAAATTAGAAAATCAATTACTATGATTGTAGTATAGTATGTGGGGTGGGGGTGGGGGATAGCAGGGATCAAACCCAGGACCTTAGCACTTAATCTACAAGTAAGCTTCACACCCCTGAAATACAAATTTGTTCTTTGTATGTTGTTTTGTTTGAGACCGGGTTTCAGACTGTGGACCAGGCTGGGCTAACAATCACTGTAGCCCAGGCTGGCCTAGACCTCACAGTGCTTATGCCTCAGCTTTCAGACTGCTGGAATTACAGCTGAGAACAACCATGCTGACCTTGAACTAACCAGTGTCTTCTTTTAATATGTTTATAGGGTTTAGAATGTTTCCGAAACTATATGAACATAACAAAATTGCAGTGATTCCCAATGTGTTCTGTTTCTATTCAGTACTCACTGTGTTAATTTTTGTATGTATGTGTGAGTATATGTAGTTTTGGTTATTTTTGTTTTGTTTTTTGTTAATTCATAGTTTATTTCCTAGATGTTTACTGAACTGCAGCAGATGAGGCAACAACTACCAGACATGGAATTTGGACGACGAATGGCTGTAGAACGTGAGCTGGAAAAGGTGGATGCTGTAAGATTAATTAATATCATTTTCGATGAAACTGGACACTTCGTGCTATATGGAACAATGCTAGGCATTAAAGTTATAAATGTAGAAACAAATCGGTAAGCTTCAATATGATTTGTATATATTTTAAATGCAGTTATATGGGCACATTTTATCCATCAGGGAAACAATGAAAGTTTTGTTTGTTCCAGAGAAAGTGGAAAGGTCCCAAAAGCCTAAAATTAGCCAATGTTTTGACTGGATTTTTCTATGGTCTTTCAGTTGTTTATACTCTTATGTAAAAAGTTTCCACTCATACTTATAAAAGAAATAGAAAGAAAATATGCATAGTTTCATGGGTTTGGTTTTTTTGTTGTTGTTGTTTCTGTTTTGTTTTCTTTTTAACAAGTTTTAGTCTGTGTTTTGCTTATTGATTTAAATTAGCCAGGCTCATGTTAAATATTGCCAAATATTTTAACCACAGAATTCATCATCACATCATGCTGGACAGAAAGGCAGAGCAACAATGAATAAGACCCCAATACCTCTCTTGTGCAAATAGCCATTTGGTGTTAGTACAGAATATCTACAATCAGATGCAATGACTGAATGTAAAGAAAAGTATTTAGAGAATATTTTGAGAAAATTCTTTTGCTGTACATTGCTACATATAAATGGATTTATCTTATAGTTCTTAATAATATAAAATCATTAAAAACTTGTAAACGATTTGAGTAATAGGAAAAGGTTAAAACTGTACACTCAACCTCAACTCAAACTCTAAGGGTACACAACCTAGTAGTCCCTTATAACATGGAAATGCCCCCTATACTTTAATGATATGTAGATTATTAATAATTTCTGGTACAAATATTATATAAATGCATATTGTACCATATTGTTCATGGAGTAATGACAAGGAAATAGCAATATACATGTTCAGTATAGACAATTTAAAAACAAAATATTTTTAATCTAAAGTTTGGATCTAACATACAGAACCTATGATTACAGAGGGTTATTGTATTAATGAGTGATTTGGGTCTGTGTGTGTGTGTGTGTGTTTATGCGCATACTAGAGGTCAATGTTAACTGTCTTTGTTGCTTTCCATTTTATTTTGAGACAGTGTCTCTTGCTGTACCTGAAGTTCACCTGTGTGACTAGACTGGTTAGCTAGTAAGCTCTAAGGATCTTTCTGCTTCTGCCTCTTCCTCAACACCTCCTACCCCACCCCCTCAAGCAGGGTTACGGGTTTTTGTATCCATGGCTGTGGGTGCTAAGGATCTGAACTCATGAAGCCATTTTCCCAGCCTTGGATCTGTTTTTTCTTTAATAGAACTTTTAAAGCATTTGTAGGTTCACAACAAAATAGAGAAGAAGGTACATTTTCCCATATATTTTCTACTCCCATCAAAGCAGTCATTTGTTACAGGTGCTATACATACACCTGTATGCATATCACATAATACCTACCCATTGTTTACATTAAGGTTTCCTGTTGCTATTATACATTCTGTTTGGACAAATGTAAAGGGCCAAGAGCTCATCACTATTATCAGTCAGATGTTTTCACTGCCCTAAAATCCTTCACCTATCAATTACTCTACCTTCTGGATAACTACTAACTATTACTCTAACTTCTGGAATGACTAATAACTGTTGCAGGATTCCTGCCTGGGTTCCATTGCTGGTTTAACCCCCAAATAACACACAAGACACTATATTAATTATGAAGCCATTGGACATTTGCTTGTTTCTTACTGGCTGCTCTGACTTAATTATTTAACCCATAATTGTTAATCTAAGTATTTCTCTTACCAGAGGAAAGGGTCCGGACCTCCTACTCTGGCAGCCTACATGGTGTCTGACTCTGCCTCTCTTTCCCAGAATCATCCTTGACTCCTAATCCCACCTGTCTTGCTTCCCTATTGGCCAACAGTGCTTTATTCAACAACCAATAAAATAAGCACATACAGAGAAAGACTACCCCTTCATTTCCTCTTTTCTGTCTAAATAAAAAAAGAAAGGTTTTAACTTTAACATAGTCAAATTATATGTAACATCAACATGTATCAAGTAAGAACTATAGTTACAATATTTTGTCCATTAACATTTAGCAAGATTTAAAGAAATTATTTTATCATCTATCCTATCTGTGTGAGTCTAAAGTCTTATATGTACCTAATCTTTCATCATAACTAAGGAAAACTATGATTATAACTATCTGTCTTCAACTCCATCAAAGACCACAGAAGGATAATATAGAAACACTAGAGTTCACAGAGATTTCTTGCTACCTGGACAGTCACCCCAGGTTCCACTGTAACATTTGGGCATCCAACTTCAGCCCATAGGCCACTATGTGCCTGGAAGTCTTCTCAGCAAAGCAAGAAATTTCAGACTGTCCATCTGCATTGGCAGTCTGTCAGTCATTTTTCTGTGTCCTGCAGAAAGTCTGGCAGACTCTTCCGTGAAGTAGGAATCCTTTAAGATGGTCCAAATTCAGTAGTGACTTTTCTGTGGGTCCTGCATGTCCAGATTATATAGTCAAACAGTCTAGGCAAGAACAGTTTCTTGCCCAAATGGCTAATCTTGCCCTGTTGAAAGCAAACTCCATAATGAGTCTCTTCAATGCCCATCTTCCTCTTAGACATAATTGGTGTGCCAGGAGCAGACATTTCTCATTGTCAAGAAAAACCCTAAACCATTTTAAATGCCATTTTCTGAAGATCTTTGAAAGGTTTGAAGACTGTGTATCTATCTCAAATATATTTCCGTATATCTAGAAAACCTAACTTACCTAACTATAAATTCTGAATACTGTAACTATTTTTAATCTGTTTTTAATTATGCATTACCTTTTAAAAGATCAGTATAAACATCAACCCACAGAGGTCTGGAAGGAATCGACACCTTTCCATTTTCTGTGGAAACGGAAATAAAATATCTTTTCCAAAGTAGCATATCCTTATACTTAAATTTTGAAGTCAAGGCATTTTCAAAACACATAAGTTGAATTAATTCAGCAGCATTTATAATCAAGTGTACTTTTAACAGTTTTTCCTTCTTTAGCAATCAAAAACTGAAAAACACAATAGCATACAGTATCCAAACTCTGTATTTTCCATCTTTACGTGGCTTATTTATTTATCTATTGTTATTACTCTATTCCTTTTACTTTTATTTATTTATTTCTGAGACAGGGTTTCTCTGGAAATCCGCCTGCCTCTGCCTCTGGAGTGCCGGAGTTAAAGGCATGTGTGCCACCATCGCCCATTCTATTTTTTTTTAACCAGTTTATCTTGTCTCTTTTTTCTTGTATATTTTTAAACACAATGTAAACCTTTTAGAGGTTTTACTGCATCTGAATCTGACTTTACTGTAAAATTTTATGGTTTTGTTTTGTTTTGTTTTTTTGTTTTTACGAGACAGGGTGTTTCTCTGTATTGTTTTGGAGGCTATCGGTCCAGCCTGGCCTCGAACTCACAGAGATCCACCTGCCTCTGCCTCCCGAGTGCTGGGATTAAAGGTGTGCACCACCACCGCCCAGCAAATTTTATGTTTTTATGTTGTTAGTACAGCCTCTTAAAAGAACCATGCAGTTTTTCCGTTTATGCCGAGTCAGGAAACCTCCCTTAAAGGAACTGCCTAGTCCCTGCTTGTCTCTAGCAAAACAGAGTTCTCTCTTACTGGAGAAAGGGGTCCAGACCTCTTACTCTGGCGGCCTACATGGTGTCTGACTCTGCCTGTCTTTCCCAGAATCCTCCTAGTCCCACCTATCTTGCTTCCCTATTGGCCAACAGTGCTTTATTCAACAACCAATAAAATAAACACATAACACAGAAGGACTTCTCCCATCAAATAACAACTGCAACTAATCTTTTTTTCAAGACAGGGTTTTAACTGTAGCTCTGTATGGAAACTGAATAGCCAAAGTCGGCCTTGAACTCAAGGCAATCCTTCTGCATCAGCTTGAGAGCTAGGATTAATTACAGGCATGAGCAATTGTAATTCTTCTTTCTATATCTTGATAGCTCATTCTTTTAGAACTAAATAATATCCCATTGTTTGGATGTACAATTAATTGTTCAGCAAGCTGCTAAGAGACATCTTTGTTGCTTCCAAGTCGTGGCATTTATAGTAAATAATGTTGCTCTCAACTTCACTTGTGCGCATGCGCGTGTGTGTGTGTGTGTGTGTGTGTGTGTGTGTGTGTGTAAATTTTCAACTTCTTTGCATAAATACCAAGGAACACAATAGCTGGATTATATAACAGTATTTTCTTTATAAGAAGCCATCAGATCTTCTTCCAAAGTGCTACCCTTAGCATTCCTACCAACAATGAGTAAGAACCCTTGTTGCTCCAAACATTTGGTATCCATCAGTGTTCTTCTGGGTTTGGACTGTTCTAATGTGTTGTAATATCTTGTTTGAGGTTCCATGTGAGTCTGACATGGAACATCTTTCATATACTTATTTGCCATCTGCATAACTTCTTTAGTGAAGCATTTGCTAAGGCGTTTGAAGCAATTTTAACATGGTTGGTTGTTGTTATTATTTAATTTTAAGAATTCTCTGAATTTTTAATCAGATACAGCTTGTGCAAATATTTTCTTCCAGTCTGCTGCTTTTTGTTTTCTTGATGACTGGGTTTTTTGTTTTTTTTTACCTAATAATACCTACCAATTTAAATATTTTAGGGATGGGAAAGCAGAGAGATATTTTAAGATGCCTTTCATTAGTCACTTGGATATAGAAAACAGATGGCTGATTTATATTTTTTTACATGTATTTATTTTGGGGTGGTGGAGCACATACCACTGTACATGTGGAAATCAAGAAGACAACTTACTGGAACCAGTTCGCTTCTTCCACCGTGTGGATCTTGGGAATGGAACCCAAGTTGTCAGGCTTGACAGCAAGTGTGCTTATACACTGAACCAGATCTCTAGCGCTGGATAGTTGACTTTTCATTTTCATGGCAAGCTGTCATGACTGAAATTTTTTTTCCTTGCATGTCTGCATAGTGTGTATTATTTGTACAGGTGTGTCTGCAATGTATGCAGGTGAAGGTCAGAGGTTAATGTCAAGTGATTTACTGCGGGAAGTTAGTGCTTACAGATTTGCCTAGTCTAGGTAGCCAGCTTGTCCTGTGGATCCTGTTAAAAGCACTGGGACTGGCTGGGCGTTGGTAGCACATGCCTTTAATCCCAGCACTCAGGAGGCAGGGGCAGGCAGATCTTTGTGAGTTCGAGGCCAGCCTGGTCTACAGAGCAAGTTCCAGGACAGGCTCCAAAACGATACAGAGACACTCTGTCTCGAAAAACAAAACAAAACAAAACAAAAAATCACCGGGACTGTGGTAGGCCTACCTGGTTTATATAGGTACTGAGGATCCAAATTCCAGTCCTTAGTCTTGCAAATCAATTTATCCACTGAGCTATCTTCTTAGCGTAATTTTGGCAATTGTGTTATATTAATTTTTTTTTAATTTTTCCAGGTGTGTGCGGATCTTAGGCAAGCAAGAAAATATTAGAGTGATGCAACTGGCATTGTTTCAGGGAATAGCAAAAAAGCATCGAGCTGCAACTACTATAGAGATGAAAGCTTCTGAAAACCCTGTTCTTCAGAATGTTCAAGCTGACCCAACAATTGTCTGTACATCATTCAAAAAGAATCGATTTTATATGGTATGTGATGTTCTAGGAGATGGAATTACATTAGTGTGTTTTTCAGCCTTCCTGGGAGTTTTGTTTTCTGGAGCATGTTGGCAGTGCTAACAAACCTGAATAACTGAAACACCAGCCTATAATAATATTATAGAATTTTTAACTAGGAATTGATTTTTAAATATCTCTGTATGCTTTGCCATTATGTTTAAAAATTTTCCCATCTGGCTTCTATCACTATTTATGCTATGACTATAGGAAACTAATAATTAAATTCATAACAGTTTTTACTGTGGGTTTTTTAATATTGTTTTTCAACTTTTCACTTGAATGTAATATATTTCCCAGAACTTGCACAATTTCTTTCTCTAAATGTATTTCCTTGACTTTTTGTTCATTGTTACAGTGCTATATTGAAGTGATATATTCCTGATGAATCTTCCCTTCCTCTGGAGAACTAAACTGCCACTTGTTGGAATTGTTGCTCATGATCATTTACTTACCTAGCTCATATAAAGCCCTGCAATCACTCCCTAGCAGTGGAAGAGGAATACTAAAAATGGGCTAAAATCAATCCTTGAAGCTACTTATGAATAGTAATATCATCTAGGCAGACAGTAAGAAATACAAAGACCTGCACTCTGGCATAGTATATATATCCTTTACACTGCAAACAGCTTCCTAAGATCTAAGTATGACTCCCTCCCTTGCCTATAATTGGCTTTTATCACTTTTGTAGCTTTAGCCTTCTTCCTTTTTTATTTACTACATTGACCAGATCAAATTATTCTATTTGTATTAGTTGAATATTTTAAATTATTGTTAGTCATTATTTCTTCCAATCAGGTTTCCTTTCAACTTCTACTTCATAGCCCAGCTTGGAAATCTTTTAACATCAATATTGAATTATATGCACCTAATGTGTTCTTCCTATGCTTACCTCATCATATGTAACATACTTTGGGGATATAAATCAATAACCTGTAAATTGGGGGAAATAGGTATATCTTATGACATTGCTGTCTTCTTCCACACGATTTAAAAATCAATAAATGTGGAGTAGTGTGGGTTCACATTAAGTGCACAAAATTCAGTCAAATGGTGTACACATTCAATCATCTGATGTCTACACAAATTGTAAGCATCTGTGATGGGTTCAAGCTAACACAGTTGATAAATGGATGAAATAGTAGTATCCCTACCCCAGCCAAGCTTTTAACCTAACATACATAAAATCTTTTTTTTCCTTTTTTTTTCTTTTTTTTTTTTTTGGTTTTTTGAGACAGATTTTCTCTGTATAGCCTTGGCTGTCCTGGAACTCAATTTGTAGACCAGGCTGGCCTCAAACTCAGAGATCCACCAGCCTTTGCCACCCGAGCACTGGGATTAAAGGCTTGTGCCACAACCATCTGGCCATAGATAAATTCTTTAACGTGATAATTTTTTCATACAATCTCTGACACGTAGCCAAAATCTCACTAATTTATGCTAAATGAAAATGTTGATCTTATTTTGATATATAATTTAGCTACTAATAAAGTTAGCATTATCAAAGATAAATATTGATACATACTAAAACTACCATCACTAGCGATGATGGCACATATGTTCATGATCCCTGATCCTTAGGTACAGGAGTTGTGTTACAGACATAACCATTGGAACAGGCTTGTACATGATCAGCTGCTGTCTGCATTTTGACTAGTTGTGGTTTTCTGTAGTGGTTTCCATCTGTTGCAAAGAGAAGTTTCTTTGATAAGGAATGACAGCTATTCTTATCTGTGGATATAAGGATAGGTATTTAGAATCAGTTAGAATTTATGCCGATTTGGTAAGTGATGGTATATGGTTCTTCTGTAAGATCCATGACCTCCTACCCCAAGAAGTTGTGTTTCCAGTACCAGATATGATTTCCCTAGTGTTGAGTAGGCGTTAAGTCTAATTAGACAGTTGTTGGTTACCTCCAAGATATGAGTGACAGTATTATACCCTTATGGATATCTTGCCATACTAATTATTATTGTAGATACTAAGTGTCATAGTTGGGTAGGACTATTGGTTGCTTCCTTCCTTCCAGTACTATGAAAGCTCATCCTTAGAGTGGAGGCTTTCAGGTCAGACCCAGCTCAGATTCTCACAGTCCTGTGTCCAAAGTTCATGAAGCCTTCAGCATGAGGGACCTACCTTCAACCTCTAGGAGGCAACTATCAGCAGTGGCAATAGCCGATATTGTTTTAGTGGTTTCTTGGGCTTCAATGACCAACAACTCAAAAAGAGAGTTCCTCACGTCTGGTACTGGGGTTTTTTGTTTCTGTGATTATTGGAGGTAGCATTGTCAGCCCAAATGGCATAAATTCATTGAAACTATCTGTGTGTATATGCATAATACTTGTATGTATTTTATGTAATTTTAGGTGAGTCTTAAAAAATGATCCCTATGGCTTTTTCAAACATCCTTATTGTTATTTTCTTCCTCTCCTTCAGTATTGACCTCTTTCACTCTCCCCAATGTAAAGATCCCTTCCCATATTTCACTTTCCTCATGCTTATCACCAGTATCCTACCATTCTTTCTAACCCATAGTACCGTTTTAGTCTCCTGAGGTTAATCCAGCTGTCTTGTAAATTCTTTTTTCCTTTAAAAGCAAAATTTTATTTATAAATTTGTACCAGATAAGTTTTTTAATTCAACCACTCACATTTTCTTTATTGAGTTTACTAAACGAGAACCAGAAGATACAAAAAGTGCGGATTCTGACCGAGATGTTTTTAATGAGAAGCCTTCTAAAGAAGAAGTCATGGCAGCTACTCAAGCTGAGGGACCAAAACGAGTTTCAGATAGTGCCATTGTCCATACAAGCATGGGAGACATTCACATCAAACTTTTTCCTGTTGAGTACGTATAATTTTTGTTGTCTTACAAGAATGCCAATGTCAATGCATATATTTGGACAGTAACTTAAAATTGTTACTTTAATGGATTTTGAATAATTTGTTTGAATAAAACATCTAATACTTAGCATTCTGATATATAAATTCTTCTAGGGAAAAAGATCAGTTTCAATGCAGGCCTATTATGAGAACAAAATACACTCTATGAAGTGCTGTCAGTGATAGGACAGTTCCCTAACATGCACAGGATTCTTGTTCAGTTTCCAACACCAAACAGAAAAGAGCACTGGAGATAAATTGTAAAGATGTACAAGTGTACACTACTGTTACCAGGAACTGCCCATCCAACTAGGTTTTATGGGCTTTCTTTATAGACTATTCTGCGCCCAAAGCAAATTCTTCAGGTAAGGAAAATAGTTTTTCTTTTGTGGAATTTGTTAGTCACCAGCAATTTTTAAAGTGAATTCTAATAAAAATCATAAGGATTTTAAATTCCTGTTACAGTTGAAAAATATTCTGGATAGTTAAACAGTATTTGTAAAAATAAATTATTAATATCAAATATAATAGGATTATTTATCTGTGGATTCCTTGATCTAAAGAGATGATTTCTTTTGTTAATATTTTTCACTCAAAAGTATTTATTTTGAATATAACAACTTGGTACTAAGCAAAGAACAAGACAGTTGTAGATTCTTAAACAGTCCCTTTTTAACTGCTTATACATACATATGCATATTTGAACCTGTTACATGCGTACTTGAGGCAAGATTCTCTTGATTCCTCCTCCTATTCTCAGCTCTCAGGGGTATTTTGTGATCATGAAATAATTTCATGAGATAAGTAACAATTAAAAAAGTCTTTTTTTGCTTGTTTGTCTTTTGTTTTGTTTTGTTTTGTTTTGTTTTGTTTTGTTTTAAAGCAGGATTTCTTTGTGTAGCCCTGCCTGTCCTGAAACTAGTTCTGTAGACCAGGCTGACCTCAAACTCAAGAGACCCACCTGCCTCTGCCTCCCACCTCCCTATGCTGGGATTAAAAGTGTGTGCCACCACTACTCAACTAAAAATTTCATATTCTTATTAAGGGATTGTCAATTTAATTTGATTAAATTTAGAAGATGCCATTTCTGTGAATAAGTCCAGGAGTCATTGAACTATAACATTGTTTTTATAAGAAAATTGCTGTTCCCAGAAATAAATATAACCATGTACACTGGACATGTGTGAGTGCATGTATATATCTTAAGGTGCTATCTTTGGGTTTTTATACTGCTAAAAGGCTTTGAAGTATCAAACTCAGATATTAAATAGTAAACATGTAAAAATATAAGAACACTACTTTTTACCTGCCCTTCCCACTGTCATTTGTCATGAGATCAGATTATTATGACAGAGACTATCCTGACATGTTTAGAGAACACTTGAGAACACTAGAAAATGGGAGTTCAAAACATTATCTCAAAATACTCTGAATAATTTCATATTTTTCTATAACAGGTGTCCCAAGACAGTGGAAAACTTCTGTGTTCACAGCAGAAATGGTTATTATAATGGGCATACATTTCACCGTATCATTAAGGTAAGCTACACAAGTTTCATGTGATTTAAAGAAAAGTATGCTTCCGTATAACATGAGTTTAGAGTCTCCCAAATCCTCTCAAATGCATACACTTTACTACAAGGTAAGACAGCATTGGATGGTCATGAATGTTTAGTTGAGGCCAGGAAAAGGCATGACTACCTTTTTAGAAACAATACTCCAGTATTTTGTCAGCAGCTAAATAAAGGGTAAAAGAATGCACCAAGGAATATATACTAATTTAGTAGCTAGATAAGGCAGAAGTCTGGAAAATAGAAGACCTATAATGAAATGCATCCTCTCAGAACCTGAGCTAATGCATGGTAAAACATTTGTATTTTTATTTGTCATTGAATAAGTAGTGATTCAGCAATGGAAATCTAACATCCAAACTTACTATAGGGTTAATCTAACCATGATATAATTTAAAGAAGGTGAAGACTTCACTGAATACAAAGCACTCTTGATAGAAACAAAACTGCAATCAGTCATACACAGAAATTACATATTAAAAAGGCAAGGTAATTTTTTCCTTTTTTTGGTTTTACGAGACAGGGTTTCTCTGGCAAGGTAATATTTTTATGTTTTCTTTTAACAGGGCTTCATGATTCAGACAGGAGATCCAACAGGTACTGGTATGGGAGGAGAAAGCATATGGGGAGGAGAGTTTGAAGATGAATTTCACTCAACATTACGCCATGACAGACCATACACACTCAGCATGGCCAATGCTGGATCAAATACTAATGGATCCCAGTTTTTCATAACTGTAGTACCAACGGTGAGTACATTATCTATAAATGACAGGTTCATGGTTTATGATCCAATAATATGAATTTAGTAGGGGATCTACATTATTATGTTCTTTGTACTATTAAATATCTCCAGATAGAAAATATAAAAGAGATAAAATTTAAACAATGTAACAAATGAATTTAGAAAACACTATTTCTGTCTAGTAGGAAATACAGTGTTCTATGTTCAGGATACTCAAGTTTCAGGTCTCTTGCTCTTCCTCCATGACTTTTACGCCACCTAAAGCAAATTACTTCACCTCTCCTGGCCAATTTCCTCATCGTTTGAATTTTTATTGCTATTTATTCATTAATTTATGCTTTTTCGAGGCAGGGTCTCTCTGTGAGGCCTTGTCTGTTTGGAACTCACTCTGTAGACTAGGCTGGCCTTGAACTCACTGATCCACCTGCCTCTGCCATCTGGTTGCTGGGATTAAAAGTGCATCAATACCACAGTTTATTTTTATATTTTTAAGACAAGTTCTTCTATGTGGCCCAAGCTCCAGCCTGCCAAGTGCTAGGGTTACAGTTGCGTATACCATGCCTAGCTTCTAGAGAAATTAAAAGTGTATGAATTCCTTTCCTGTTGTTTTTTGTTTTGGGATTTGTTTTTCAAAACAGTGTTTCTCTGTGTTACAGCCCTGCCTGTACTGGAATTTACTTTGTAGACCAGGCTGGCCTTGAGCTCACTGAGATCCACCTGCCTCTCTCGCTCCCAGGTGCTGGGATTAAAGGCCACCACTACCCAGCATTGAATTCCCAATTTTAAAACAAATTCTTCATAATTTCTTTCTTTTTTTTTTTGAGATCAAGCACTGCCGATTTGTTTGTTTATTCATTTATTTGTTAGTTATTTGATGTTTTTAGAGTCCAGAGAATGGAACCCAGGGACTCACACATGCTAGGCAAGTGTTCCATCAAAAACTTTACCTCCAGCCCGATGGTGGTGGCACATGTCTTTAATCCCAGCACTTGGGAGGCAGAGGCAGGTGAATTTTTTTTGAGTTCAAGGTCAGCCTGGTCCAAAGACTGAGTTCCAGGGCAGGCTCCAAAACTACTCAGAGAAACTCTGTTTTGAAAAAACAAAACAAAAACAAAAACAAACTTTACCTCCATCCGCAGCATGGTAATGATAAGCGTCCTCGTTATTTGTTGAGGTAGCTTCTCACTATGTAGCCTAGACTAGCTTAGAAGTCATTATCATCTTGTGTCAGCCATCTTCATAATTTCTTAAGACAGTGTTTATCATAATAATCATAATAAATGGCATTTTAGGCAAGAATTCTCTATTGTACCTTGCCTAACAGCTGCAGTGGAGATTTGACGAAACTAAGTACAGGGTTACCTAGCTCTATTTGTATTCAGTTCTTCAAAAGCAGAAAATGTACACATTATAAACAAAATTATATACCAGACAATAAAGGAAAAGTACTTGTAAATATCTGCCAGCCTAATGTAACATTCATAGTGATTTCAGTGTTGGTATTCCCAGCTTCGTAATGAGGAAGAAACATGGTAGCAGAGTCATAACTTAGTCTTCTTAAACCATTCTGGATTGTCTCATTTAAGGACTCTTATAGGGAGTCTTATTTTCAATAGTATAACATTTTTGCTCAGTATTCTAAGCTTTATGCCATTTTATAAAACAAGGGACCTTAGCATCTGTCTGTGTGGTATGGTGAGCAGCCTAATCCCCCAGGGATACGGAGAGATGACTTAAGGCATTTTATCATTTCCAAATAAACTAGGGATAACTTTTAAAGGCTGAGTATCCATTGTTAAGCAAGTATTGCACCTCATTTTAAATATATAATAAATTTTAGTAAAATTTAAATTTTGCCTCTCATAATTTGATTTAATTGAACTTAAATTTAACTTTTTTTTTTTTTTGTTCTCCAATACAGCCTTGGCTTGACAATAAGCACACCGTGTTTGGACGAGTAACTAAAGGAATGGAGGTTGTACAACGGATTTCCAATGTTAAAGTCAATCCCAAAACAGATAAGCCTTACGAGGATGTCAGCATCATAAACATCACTGTCAAGTAAAATGGGTTCTGTACATTCCAAAGTAAAAGGGACTTACAGTACCATGAGACTGTTTCACATTTGAAAATTTAATACTTGCTGAATATGCAAATCATGTTTTAAAAGATATAAAACTGTATTTTTGTACTTTTAGTTAAAGGTCATTTTTTAAAAGTGTCTTTGATTTTTCTTGGACTATTTCTGATCCTAAGGGGTGACAAATTGATGTGCACTAAGTTCAGGAAAATAACATTTCTATTTTTTTTATTTAGGTTAGAAACAATCTTGTTTCACATGTCAATCCCAGCTCCCTCTCCCCCTCTCCCTCCCCTCCCCCCCCCCCCCCGCTCTCCCCACCAGGTCCCTCAGTCCCCCACCCAATCTCCACTCTCCCCAGGGAGGGTGAGGCCCTCCATGGTGGTTCTCCAGAAAATAACATTTCTTATAGGTAAATTCTCTACTGACTCAAGTTCAGTATTAAATAATTGGTTTGCACATATTTCTTCTGTTTCAAAAACGTGCCCTTCTAGGTTTACCGATCCTTAAAAAAAAGATTAAAGGGTGTTATATTCCTTATTATAAAATATCCTTTAAATAAAAGCACCAAATAAATGGCTACTTGAATCCTTACTTAATGAAGGTTCACTCAATATTTTCATTTGCTTTTCCTAATGTAGCTAAGTAATCTTTCTTCTAATAAATTATATTTAATCCAGTCACCATCAAGAATAAAAGTAAAATTTAGTATCCAACAGTAAAGATTATTAATAGAGAAAGTGGTGGCATATCCCAGCACATGAGAGGTAGAGGGAGGATATTAATGTAAAGGCCAGCCTAGACTACATAATGCCTGAAAACAAATAAATTGTAACAGTACAATGGGTTTAAAGTCTTTATTGATATTATTCTTCACCTCCCTTTGCCATGACTGACTGCTAATAACAACCAGTTCTGGCTTCCATACAGCCTCCTAAGAAACTTAAGAGAGGGACATCTCAGCAAAGCCACTGCTCAGTAGCATCATTTCATTTTGTTTGGAAATAAAACCTGCAAGATGGAAAAGTGTGTCTAATTGTGCCTTAAAAGTAAAGTGTGAAACCAGGCGGTGGTGGCGAACGCCTTTAATCTCAGCACTTTGGAGGCAGAGACAGGCAGATCTCTGAATTATAAGCCAGCATGGTCTACAAAGTGAGTTCCAGGGCAGACCAGGATACCCTGTCTTGTAAAATAAACAAAAAAAAGTGAAGGGTGCTTCCCTTTTAAAAAGGATTTGAGCTTACTCCATTAAGGACTTTGTTACATTTACCTTCTTTTTCTTATCTACAGGAATTACACTTATCTAGCCAAGCTTTATCCATCCTAAAGACTTAATGTAAAATTTTGATAATGCCATCAAGTAGTTATAATGCCTCATTCCTCAAATATTTTGCTTTAATTGAAGAATCATATATACAACTAATGAATTTTGTTTTCCTATCATTTTATTTGAAGTAGGGACTCATGTATCTCAGGCTGGCATTCAAAGTCTCTATGTAGGTAGAGACCCTGAGTGGTAGGAGCAGACACATACCATGATGTCTAGTTTATGAAGTACTGCTGAGCTGGAATCCAGGGCCTTGTGCATATTAGAATGTATTCTACCAAGTGAGCCACATCACCATTAAATTATTGTTAATGCACAAATTCACACTTAGTCTGTTTCCTCCTGTATTCTTTTTTGGAAGTATACAGGTGTACATCAGTCTTCCCTGGTACTATTTTGTAAGATGAGAACTTTTCCAATGTTATATAAGCATTAAATAAATATCATCTTTTAAGATTTATCCTGGCATTGGTGGAGCGCACCTTTAATCCCAGCATTTGAGCGGCAGGGGCAGGCAGGATCTCTGTCAGTTCGAGAGCAGCCTGGTCTACAAAGCGAGTTCCAGGACAGCCTCCAAAACAATACAGAGAAACCCTGTCTCAAAAAAAAAAGAAAAAGATTTAGACAAGTTTTTCATCTCTCTTTTTTTTTTTTTTGGTGATGATGGGGATGGGATCTTGAGTTTTGTTAAGCATACCCTCTACCACTGAGCTGCATCTCCAGCCTGTCAAACCAATGTGACGGTCATTACAGTGACAAGTAGTGAACTGTGTAAATGGTCATTTTGAATGTCCTTTGTTCTCCTGTGAAACAAGATTAAATATGAATTTAATCAAAAAAATTTCCCTTTTGTTTATTCAACCATTTAGTTCTCCCCACAAAAGTTTCTTTTACATTTTGATTAAATGTAACCTGTATTATAGAATAATATCTCAAAACCTTTGCATTATCAAATAAACCCTATCGCAAATGTGGTAGGTTAAATCGTTCTCCTCTCCTTTTTGTTTAAGCTTAGCACAAATAATGAAGTTTTTCTTTTTGGCAGTGCTATGTATCAAACCCAGGATTTCATACATGCTAGACAAGTGCTTATACCTTTGAGCTATGCCCACTTGTAATAATGGACATTGGGGGGGAGGAGACAGGGTTTTTCTGTATGACAGCTCTGGCTGTCCTGAAACTCACTTTGTAGACCAGGCTGCCCTCAGAGATCTGCCTCCTGAGTGTTGGGACTAAAACTATACACCAACACCACCCAGCAATAATGGACTTCTTAAGCTATTTACTAGCAATGACACTAGATGTGATTCGCAATTTATTTATGTATTTATGTATATTTATTTATTTTGGGTTTTTCTTGGGGAGGGTTCAAAACAGGGTTTCTCTGTGGCTTTGGAGGCTATCCTGGAACTAGCTCTTGTAGACCAAGCTGGTCTCGAACTCACAGATAACTGCCTACCTCTGCCTCTGCCTCCTGAGTGCTGGGATTAAAGGTGTGTGCCACCACCACCCACCCAACTGATGGACAATTTATCAAGCAGTTTTTGTAATAACAAAACTCCTTACAGGTTGAACATTTTATTGCTTTCTATACTGATCATATGTGTAAGTGCAAATAATGACTTCTGCTGGCTATAAATCATTCCTGAATTACAGACCAGGGTTACACACTTGACATACCTGCTGTGTATAATTCATACAGTAATAACTAGATGAAATATAGAATTTCAGAGACATAAGGCAAATCTTAATATACTGTAATTAAAACATCTGCCGATTCTTAAAATCTGAAACCTCCCAAAGAGTACAATCTTAACAAATTACTAGTCACAGTAAATAGGAACCCGCCCGAGAAAAAGAATCACACTTAAACACTACAGTATATCTATATTACAGTCATATTTACGCACAATTTTAAATTTGTTTGGTTATATTTTAAGAATATGAATTACAAAGTTTAGCAAAATTAGTGAAATAATATACTTCATAATTTACAAGAAAACCAAGTACACATCTTAGTGTCAACACATTTTCAGTTACCTAGTACAGAAAATAGTTCAAGCAATGCAACATTTTTATTTTTCACAGTTACTAAAATCAGTCAAATATTAAATAATTTAATTACAAAGTATTACATATGCACACAAACTACTTGTAACAGCATGACCAGTTACTTTCTTGAAAAACCAAGGACAAAATATATTTTATTTACATATTGCCCATAATACGGGCTTTTTCTAATGTTGTGTTCTAAAAGGTTTAAAGAAAAGTACATTTTGAAAAAAAACTGAATCAGAACAGTGCCATCTAAAAATTACATCCCAGTGTCAGATATCACTGTCCTTGCAACTGCACTACAATTTAAAAATCAACTTCATCCTAAAGAAGAGCATTAAAAGCAAGAAATCTAGTTATTTAAATTCAAGAAATCATGCTTCCATAATAAGAGTATCCTTTACAAATAAGAAACCATGAAGAACACAGAATTTAACTTTTATTCACAATACTGCCATAATAAATGTAAACTTTTACAAATGTTTCTTTTCCTATAGACATGTTCTTCCTCTTAACTGAGACCTTGTCCTCAAGAGCCTTGATCCTTTTTACTGTCATGTGAATGCACTTAGTTTGGGAACCATGTTAAAGAAATTAGCATTCCCTACTGTTTGAGTAACTTTCCCTAAGGTGTAGGTAGTTTTCTATTTTGGTTTCTATGTGTTCATATAAAAGTGACTTACGACACTTTACCAACAAAGGATGCAGTATTACTTAGCCTAAGTAAATGCTTCAACAACTAAAGGACCAATTTAGGACCCTGTCCTAGGAAATAAATGTAGGCTCAATCCCGGAAATGGTTCTTGTTAGTGAAGATCAAACAACTTTCACAGTTTTATTGTTCTTAGTTTAGAACTGCTCTAATGATCAGGTCCACTTAGATAATATCTCATTCTCACTGTGTGCTATGCAAAATGCTTTAGGAGAGAGTTCTATTAAAACTGTAGAAAATACTAATTTTCTCTAGTTTATACTCCCCAGCATTAATGATACTGTTATACCAAATGTAAAAGTAAAGCAATCCTATTTCCCCCAATACAGCTTCAATTCCAGTACACAACTGCCATGTCTACTGCCAAAACTGAATTAAAAAGCAGGGTAAAGCTGTACTTCCTAGGATCTGGTAGGCACTCCACTGGCTGTTTTGTTTTGTTTCACTGAAATAAAGAACCTTTTCTTACTCATTCTCTATAACTACTCCTCCCTAATATACAGGTCATCTATAAACTGAAAATCTCCAGTATCTAATGTACCTTTTAAAAGTCTATATCCAAGAAATTTCTATTTAACCAATGTAATATGGTCATTTAAAACTGCCACAAGATAATTTTAAAAAGCAATGGCATACTTAGTTCTCAGTCCAGGATTCTTATATACACATCCTATATTAACTATCATATTTGAGATGTAAAATTTCTTAGGATACATTACATGCAGAGTAACATTTAACCATAAGCTTGAAACAACTGCTGCATTAGAATCAAGCAACATCCAGCACTCCAGCAGCCACAAGTTGTCGGGACAGCCAGTCCAACCCTTCATAGAGCCCCATACCACTTCGAGCATCACAGCCCTGAATATACCAGCTCCTACCACAACACAGTTTATGGAGACTGAGAAGTTCAGTGATTTCTTCTACTGATAGGGCTCCAGCAACATCCTAAAAGACACAAAATATAATTTTTATCAGTCCTTCCAAGGGATCATTCCTCTTAATTATTTATATAGAAAGATG